ATCCTGAGAATGCATTATTTCTAAAATGCCGCACCGTTAACAGCCTTTTAGCTGGTTACATTATAAAGCATATTGTAACAGCTTAAAGGAAAAATCTGAGCTGAAATGTGTTTCCATAGCCCATATGTTGAATTCTGGCATCTTTTTCAAGCTGTTGTCAATTAGTAGAGATTAAGTTCTATCTTTATGTCCTTTGTAACATCGAGTGTGTGCTTGGATGCTGCAGAGAGCTACAAAGGGAGATGTTTTCCTTGGGTCAAAGGTGACAGAGAGCAACGGTAGTTGGGAAGACAAAGAGGTGTTGTCCCAAGTGTCTGCGATGGACACCCGGGCCATCAACAGAGAGAAGGAATGCCTTTCGTTGTGGTAAACAAACCCTTTTCCAGGCCAACAAGCTGTGATCGCGGACTTTTTGCCATATGCATGTTTTTTTAAAAGAGAGAGAGATTGCAGCAGAGCCTCCGGGTCATATGCTAGTCCTTGCCCCGGCAAGGAATGGACACCTGAGCCTGGCAGCATGCAGTTCTTGTCTGACACGGATCAAATCACTTCTGTGGACCCTTTACCCTGGGACTCTGAATCTCCCTTTGTTCCCACACTCTCTGCTCTTGGAACCTAGCAGAGACATTTTTAGCATTAGTGGAATGTATCGGCTGATGACCCAACATCCTTTTGTGTTGGCAGCAAATGGACAGATAGCCCTTTAGCTTAAGAATGCACTACCATTACTTTTAACTTGCCATTGGTCTTATTTCCTCACACTGTGGTATAGAATGCCATTGCTAATGGGATTTCTGTTACTGCGTGTCACAGGAGCACAGAAAACAAACCAGACCTATATTAGAAAACAGGTTTGACACACGTCTGTTCAGTTGCAAAGAGCTTTCACCATCTCCCTGCAGCAACCCTGATAGAGAAAGACCTTATCTTATAGGAGGACTGACGTTCTCCCCCACCCCACACCCAAACGTATGCCCCTGGGAACTATGAGATAATGGGGTGTTGACTGAGCAAGAAGTCAAATGACACCCCTGGCTGGTCTTGCTGGAAGGCATATCCATGGCCACCTCCACCTGTACCTTCTGCCCCTTTGTAGCCCACGTGTCATGGGTGCCCTAGCCTGAGCCTCCGGCCTGACAAAGGGCAGAGTAATGCTTACCAGGCGGCTTTGTCATGTCTGGGAGAAGTTGGGCTGGCTGGGAAGAGCCTAAGAAGGCCACACCAGCCTGCCCTGGCCTTGCTGAGGTAGCATTCAGAGCCCTATGCAGGACAGATGGTCTCCCGGGGCCACAGGAAATAGTATGATTTTGTGGATTTGTTAAAAATGTAATTGGTGAGCCACGTAGCCGTCATTCCACAATTTGCGTGTTGTTGTTTTTTCAATGATATGTCTTAGAGTTCTTCCTGGGTAAGTTCATGTAGTTCACTTTGGCAAGCCATTGAAATTTGAAATTAATGAACCTTATTGTATATCACATTAGTGACGTGAGCACACAGAGAAAATAATTATGGCATATGTGTTATAATTTGAACTTTAAACACAATACTCTGGCCATATCATTATTGAACTGTATTCTAAGGACAAAAGGAAATGCAAAGAAATATTAGGTTTCCCTCAGTTGGCTTATTGTTGGTGGTAATGTTGGTATTGTGACTTTGAAACTATGCTGTACATTGTTAATATGGCAGATGAGTAAATATGTTAACGCTATTAGCAAAAAACATTTTCAGTGTCAGAGAAAAGAGATAAAATATAAAATCAGAGAAGTTAAGAAAAACCCTGGAACACTGATTTTCAACTAGGAATACCAACATGAACTTGTGATTTTGAAAAAAGTTAAGTTTCCTAGCTCTGCCCACTGAGAGGGCACAGACACTATGCACCCGATGGCACTGAGCACCCCAGCATTTAAATATCCATATTCAAGCACCATTCCACACTAAAAAGAACTGTGGTTCCTTGGAGAAGTGCTTAATTCTAGATCTGGGGCGGGGAAGGTTGAGGGTAAGTCAGAGATGCTCCTACCAGAAAGCGAGAAAGTGTCGACCAATAAGAGGACCACAGAAACACCATGAGGGAAACCACTCACATCCAGCATGTAGGACATTTTGCTGACCTGGTTGCTTTAAAATGAAAGTGAAGGGAATGTTCTAGATTAAGACAGATGAAAAGAAACTCAACAATCAAATGCAATATATGAACTTTGTGTTCTGGTTCTTAAAAAACAACTATAAAATACTTGGAGACAGTTGGGAAACTTGGATGGCCTAGAAGATGAAGGAGGGAGGGA